TTATTTATTTATTTTTGTGTGTGTGTCCAGCTCAGCCCACCTGGGGGCGGGGCTGGCTGGCATGTGGTGCTGGGGGATTGAACCATGGTCCAGGTATTTTGCTAAGCTTGTTCTAAGTAGGTGCTTTAGACCACTGAGCCATCTCATCAGCCCCACGACTTTTTTAAAAACAAAATAGAATGCACAAGGGCCTGAGGTTGATCTCCAGCACTGAAAAAACAAAGCCATTTACACTAGGAAAAACCACTTTATGTGGTGCCTTCTAAATCATCCTTGAATGAAACAGCAGGACCTGCTCCTCCAAGCAAGAGCCAGAAGCGGCCCCCTGGGCCCCTGAGCCTTACTGGAATGCTTGTTAATGGTGTCAAGAATAAGGTGGCAGAGCCAGCCAGAGAGCTCAGTGGATCACGCGCCTGTCATCCCAGCACTTGGGAGGCTGAAAACAGAAGGATCACCATGAGTACGGTCTGTGTAGTGAGACCCTGTACTAAATACAAAAAAAAAAAAAAAAGAGTAAGGTGGCAGCCAGCATGGTGGCACATTTGTAATCCCAGCATTCATGAGGCTTAGGCAGGAGGATTCTGAGAGTTCGAGGCCAGCCTGGACTACACAGTGAGACCTTCTCTCCAGTAGTGGTGTGGCTTGATAGGGGAGAAAACATGGGTTTCACAGTAGGAAATCCTGAGACGGTGTAGTTGTCCTGAGCCCTGGCTAATCAGCTGGATGACCTCAAGTGGGTTACTTAACCCTTCAGCTATGAAAGGGGAATAGCTGGATATGGTAGTACACACCTCTAATCCCAGCACTCAAGAGACTAAGGCAGGAAGAAAGCCAGCCTGAGCTACACAGCAAAACCCTGCTTAAAAAGACCAAAAAAAAGTGGCTGGTAAGATGGCTCAGTGGTCTACAGCACCTACTTAGAACAAGCTAAACTAAGCAAAAGCACAGGGACCACGGTTCAATCCCCCAGCACCACATGCAGGCCTGCTCGCCCCCTGGTGGGCTGAGCTGGCCACACAATAAATAAATAAATAAATAAATAAATAAATATTAAAAAAAAAAAAAAAAAAAAACACTGTACAGGAACACCACAAGTGAGGCTCTCATTAAGTCAGCCCAGGGCCAGGGAGATAGTAGAATAAGTGCTTGCCTGGCAAGCGCAAGGTCCCGAGTTCAGTCACCAGTACTTCAAAATAAATAAATAAATCAGCCCAGATGTCCCTCCACAGAACAAAGGTCAGTTCTCAGAAGACAGGCAACAACCCAGATTGTCTTTTGGACACACTGTACCTTTAGGGACAGAGCTCAGCTGACCTCTAAAACACTATGAAGTTCTCCTGGGCTTGAGACCAAAACTATGTTAGTAGAACAGACTTGTTAAATACAGGTTCTTCCTACTCTAAAGCTACACTCCCACACCATCAAAGGACCAGGTGACATCACAGACCAGGTGACCTTGAGAGGCCCTACAAGCTCCAACAGGGCAACATCCCCTTAGTCATTCAATTTGTTCTGTGGAAACTGCCTCCCACTCTGGGGAGGCATACCCGGCTCCCAGGCTCTGCTGCCTTAGCCTGAAGCCAACTAGGAGACAAGACCACGAGTAAGGAGGACCGCGGGTGCCTCCTCAGAACAAGATGGACCACTTGGTGGTCTCAGTGGCACACCTTGTAATCCCAGCACTCAGGAGGCTGAGGCAGGAGGATCATGAGCCTGAGGCCAGTCTGGCCTGCCTAGAATGCAATATCTCAAAAAAGAAGAGAACCACTATAGTTTAACAGATAAAGCTGTAATCTCCTAGGTAAAAAAAGTTCTGAAGAGCTGTTCCACAGCAATGTGAGTACACCCAGTACTACTGAACTGCACATTTAAAGATGCTCAAGAGGCGCTGGAGAGAGGACTCAGTGGAATAAGTGCTTCCCTGGCAAGCGCAAGGGCCTGAGTTCAATCCTCGGTTCTGCCAAAAAAAATAAAATAAATAAAAATGCTCAAGAAGATAGCAGAGGGTGTTGGTGCCACTTATCATCCCAGCACTCTGGGAGACTGAGTTAGATGCCAAGTAAGTTTGTTTGTTTACATATTCTGTGGCTGGCTCATCCCACCCTAAGGGCCGGCATGTGGTACCAGGGATCGAGCTTCAGTCCCTGCGTGCTTGCCTAAGCAGCACTTTAGACGCTGAGCTATCTCGCCAGACCCAAGGATTCCAAGTTTGATCCCAGCCTAAGCAACTTAACAACTTAGACCCTGATTC